CATTTCTCACTCCTACTCAACCCGCTTCTTCGTCCTCTTCCATATCCCTCTCCTTCCAGTCATCCTTCCCTTGTCCTCTTCCCTTTCCTCCACGTAGCTTCTTTCTTCTCCCCCCCCCCACCACCAACCGAACGCAGTAAAGCAGGCACTCAGACGCCGGAATCAAAAGGCCCCCTCGTTTATTAAAGCAATTTAAACGATCCTACACCACCTGTGCCTGAGTGGCTCTGGGGTACTGCAAACCCAGCTCTCTCTCTCTCTCCTCTCTCTCTCTCTCTCTCTCTCTCTCTCTCATCTCTCTCTCTCTCTCTCGTTTTCTTTATCTTCATTTTTTTCTTCTTCGTCTTCCTTAACGTTCTTTCCTTCCTCTATCTGCGTAATCTAAATGCTTCTTCATCGCCTTTTCGTTGTCTAAACTAATCAGTTTGTAAGCGAAGTTCTATCAGTTCTCAGATTTATATGACAAATGTATTTTCTTTCTCTCATTTTATTTCCATCGTTATTACCCATTTTTTCTTATTCCAGCGTCTCATTTTTCCTTTCGCACATTATCATAAAATTCCCATATCCATCAGCACTTCTTTCCATTTATCTTTCCTGTTTTCTTTGTCTTATGGTAATTATATTTTCCCTTCGTTTTCTTCTTTGCTTTTCGAATTTACTTTGTTTCTTCTTTTCCATATCCCTTTTCGCTTTTCATCTTTATTAACATCTTGCCACTTCCTACATTTTATTGTCCATCTCATATATTTCTTCTTCTGCCTGAGTTTATATATATATATATATATATATATATATATATATATATATATATATATATATATATATATATATATATATATATATATATAAACATAATTTTTTCTTTCTTATTTCTGTCTTCGTTCTCTCTTAACGGTCTTATCGTCCTTGTTCTCCACTTCCACTTCCGTCTTCCTCCTTTTTTTCGGTTCACTCATCTAGTAACTAAGAAACTCTTCTTTTGTTTATCTCTTCTTACACATTTTCTTCCTTCTTTACCCTCTCTTTTACAGCATTTCTCACTCCTACTCAACCCGCTTCTTCGTCCTCTTCCATATCCCTCTCCTTCCAGTCATCCTTCCCTTGTCCTCTTCCCTTTCCTCCACGTAGCTTCTTTCTTCTCCCCCCCCCCCACCACCAACCGAACGCAGTAAAGCAGGCACTCAGACGCCGGAATCAAAAGGCCCCCTCGTTTATTAAAGCAATTTAAACGATCCTACACCACCTGTGCCTGAGTGGCTCTGGGGTACTGCAAACCCAGCTCTCTCTCTCTCTCTCTCTCTCTCTCTCTCTCTCTCTCTCTCTCTCTCTCTCTCTCTCTCTCTCTCTCTCTCTCTCTCTCTCTCTCTCTCTCTCGCTCTCTCTCGCTCTCTCTCGCTCTCTCTCGCTCTCTCTCGCTCTCTCTCGCTCTCTCTCTCTCTCTCTCTCTCTCTCTCTCTCTTTCTCTCTCCCTCCCTCCCTCCCTCCCTCTCTCGCTCTCTCTTCCTCTCTCTCTCGCTCTCTCTTCCTCTCTCTCTCTCACTGTATATAGAAAGCTCAGAGTATGACTTATCCCTGTTTTGAAACATAGCCGTGTTTAAGAACTGGCCGTTTGTTGTGAAACATAGAGTCGTTATTTTTCTTTTTTTTGTAGAAGTTTGTGGGTAATGGGGGGTTAGACGTCTGGTATTGTAGGGTAGGTGGTTTACCTGGTGCTGAGGGGAAGGGTGAACAAAGTGACAAATGATACAAGTACCTTAGATGAATATTTCTCTTTACCCATAAGCAATTAGATATTCAATGACTGAAACTGTATGTTAGTTGCACCCTTTGGACTGATGTTAATGAGTGATAATCCTCTCAAAGGTCTTACGATTTTAGGATTTAATATTTACTCACGACGAGATATACTGTACCTCCTCGCCCTGGAATCCCCTGATGCTTGAATGCCTCAGCTAATGCTAAAAACCTGTGTTGTGCTTCCGCATTTGCTCCAGAATCCACCGTGCTCTGGATTCCAGGCTCCAGGAATTACAGACATACCTCCGGCGTGGACTCAAAGATCCGAATCACTTTTAAAGGACTTTGACGTAGCGCTCCAGGCAAGAGGAGGCCGGTCGAAGGAGTTTCCAAATGCCGTTTTCCTTCGAGTTTATGATCAACCACAGCGATAACTTCTTATTACAGCTGCCCCATCCTCTTTGCATTTCTTTCCCTTTTTCAAAATTTCCGACATTCTAAGGAATTTAGATTTTATTTAAAAGTAAAACAAGGGAGGGATTAGGACCCCAAGCGAATTTCCATACTGGGAAAATGAGTTAATGGACGATAATGGCTTGAGATCAAAAGAATATGCAAAAACTAGATTTATCCCGACATGGTACGATACGAAATATTTCTTGTGGTTACATAATGTCCCCGAACCTTGGCGGAGCGATATGTAATTACGAAAATATTGGCTTTGTTTTCTAATACTGTCACTAAAATCCCATCTACTCTT